AAATACCCTTCATGGTTCAGCCCCGCTTTAATAAAACTTTTGGCGGAAAAAAATAAGGTTCGCATTAGGCTACGCAAATACCAAAATCGTCAAGATGAGATTGAATTTAAACTTCTCCGCACTCGATGTCATAAATTATACGATAAATGTTACAACAAGTACAAGAAAACAATAGAGTCTAGCATTATAAGTAACCCAAAAGCATTTTGGAATTTTATTAGAAATAAAAGAGGTGGTCATTCTGGTATGCCAGCTAAAATGTATTTCAATGATTCTACAGCGGAGACTGGGAAAGAAATTGTTAATTTGTTCGCTGCTCACTTTTCGTCTGTTTATAGCTCACAAACACCGGCTCATAGTAGCACTATAGCTAATAACATAAATGCGAGTAGTACATTCATTGGTAAATTACATCTCACCGAAAACGAGGTTCTCCGGGCGATCAAAAAATTTGACAGTACTAAGGGAGCAGGCCCTGATTGTATACCTCCATTATTCGTAAAACGGTGTAGATCAGCCTTATCTTTACCTTTGACCCTTTTATACAATCGCTCACTTGTTGAAGGAAATTTCCCTGAAATCTGGAAAAAAGCACGTATCCTACCAATTTACAAAAAAGGTAGTGAAGCTGAAGTACAGAATTACCGACCAATTTCTATCCTTTCCTGTTTTTCGAAGCTATTTGAAACCCTTATATACCCTTTGGTGTCTAATTTAGCTGAACCATATCTCTCTGATCATCAGCACGGTTTTAGAGCTGGCCGTTCAATTGAATCAAACCTTGTTCCTTTCGTCTCAGACCTGTGTCAACAAGTGGACAAAGGTTTACAGGTAGATGCTATTTATACCGATTTTAGTAGCGCGTTCGATAAGGTGGATCATGAGATACTTCTTCAAAAGTTGTATAATTTTGGAGTAGGTGGTATCCTATTGAAGTGGTTCAAATCATATCTCTATAACCGACCGCAAACTGTTGAGGTATGTGGATATGCATCAGAAACTTACCTAGCCAAATCCGGGGTCCTACAGGGATCTCATTTAGGCCCAACACTTTTCCTGATATTTATTAACGATATTACTGGCCACATTAAGTATTCGAAATATGCACTATACGCAGATGATTTAAAAATCTATAGGGTCGTAACTAATGAAAGGGATGCTGCTCTGGTTCAAAATGATCTGAATAGTATTACGGCATGGTGTGGTAGCAACCGTATGACTCTCAATGCGAAGAAGTGTTTCTTTATAAAATATTGCAGGAAGATGAAACCACTTGCCACTAAGTATGAAATAGGTGGCGTGCAATTAACAGAGGTCCACGAAATTCGCGACCTTGGTGTGGTACTCGATGGTCGGCTAAAGTTTCACACACATATCGACGTAACAGTTAAACAGGCAGCACAGTTGCTCGGGTTCATTAAAAGAAACACTGGGGAATTTACTCGGTACCAAACCAAGTTAATTCTTTACAACGCCCTGGTACGCAGCCGACTCGAGTTTGCCTCGGTTGTGTGGTGTCCTTTCTATAGTATTCACTCACAACGCATAGAGAGTATTCAAAGGTCATTCACTAGACACCTTGCTTTTCGGGCCACGAGTTTCTCACATAGGAACTCCTATGACCGTCGTCTTGCTCAATTTAAAATGAATAGCTTACGCGACCGGCGACAAATGTTGGATGTTTGCTTTCTGCATAGGGTAGTAAATGGTCAGTTGAGATGTAACGAATTGCTCGGAAAGATTTCAATATCCGTTCCTCACCACTATCCCAGACAACCAATACTTAAACTTTTCTATACTCCAGCATGCAGAACAAACCTTGGCTTGCAATCACCTTTGACACGAATTTGCTGCAATTACAATAATAGTGTTATTAAGAATAATGATCTCGACATTTTCCACATGCGCTTAACCAGTTTAAAATCAAAGTTATTGCCTGGTTGTACTCATAGTAGTTTTTAGAAACCACTTATGTTCTTTTTTTTAGTTCAGTATTTGTATTTAGTAATCATCTTTTTTTTTTATTTGTTATTGCTGCTATTTTTAGTGTTTCTTTTTTAAACAAAATTTCTAGTAACTGTTCCATTAGATCCATATTTTATCTCACTGTACTGATATTGTTATGAATGTTATGTACACCGTAATTGTTGTATATATCAGAATAATTACCATCAACTGAATGTAGCGTGAATTGTGTAATATATACAATGTGGTTGTACTTATTATTATAATAATAAATTCCTCACACTACATCAACATACAAATATGGCCATATCCTAGCATACATCAATCTACATACATCCTCACACAAAGGTGAAATCTAACGAATATTTCAAATTAAGATCAAAAGTTAATGACCAAATAGTGAAATTTTTAATACTTAATAATATATTTAATGTGATAATGACCAGTGGTGTTCTTTATAAGGTCCTGCCAAAGGTAAACATTATCTGAAATCTTCTCCAGAATTTTACACTTAACAAACTTAGGTGCAAGCTTTGCCGAAAAATATGCTGGAGCATTAGACTGAACAGAACTTCTTCTCCAAACTATATCACCAACATCAAAAGAAATGGATTTCTTACCAATATTATAGTAACGCGCATTACGTTTATACGCTTTTAACAAATGTGACTCAACTCTAACAAAAATATCACTAAGTGATTTAAAGGAAAGGGGATAAGAATCTCTTTCACCAAATTCAAGTTGGTCTAAGTTACCCAAAGAATTACTAAAATGGTGTAGAGAAGCATCAACAATTAATTCCCTACCAAACATGAGAAAATTAGGTGTAAAATCAGTAGCCAGATTTACACTGCTATTTAAAGCTAATTGAATATGAGGCAAAAATTTAGACCAAGAACGTTGATCTTCTTTAACAGAACAGGAAATGCAAGTCTCTATTGTCCTATTATACCTCTCTACAGGGTTATTTTGGGGTCTGTACAAAGTGTTATAAAATATTTTTGTAATCTTTCATGAAATCTACAAAATGCTTAGAAGTAAATTGAGTACCATTATCACAAACTACTATTTTAGGACAACCAAATTTAAGAAACTGTTGGTGACTATTAGAACCAAGAATACAACTATTTGAACCACTATCCAATAAACCCGAAAATTTATCCCCTCTAATTGAAAATTCTAAATAAGGTCGTGAATCATTGCTCTTAACAAATAAAACAGGCACAGCCCTATAAACGCTAAAGAAAGTTTTTAAATAATCTAACCAGTCCAAAAATTCCCTTCTGCAAGTGACTTTGTCAAGCCCTTTAGTGTGTCTAACCATTTTTCTCAACATCGAGACATCCTAGTTTTCTTAGAAACCGGAGCTCGATGAAACCTAATCAGTTTCTTGGCCGAATTGCACACATCACAAAACTTTGTGATAACCCCCAATTTCTGACACTTGAAACAAATCATACCAGGAATTGAAGAACAGTTCTTATAGGTGTCACCGGTTGACTTACACTTTAAACAAACAACGTTATTGTTATCGTACGTTATTGTCTGACATGACAGCGTTGGACTATACTTTTTCAAATTTAAAAGGTTTGGAGGAATCTTCAAGAGATTTCCGATTGACAAAACTACAAAATTCCAAAGTAGCAGTCCAAATGTTAAGTTCTTCAAAGTTAGTTAAGTTTAAATTTATTTAAAAGTGAAATGTAGTGAAAAGTTAAATTTAAATTTATTTAAAACATACTTATTTATTTCTAAATACATACATATTATAGATAAATGCACAAGTGATCGAGCTCACCACTCGACCTCTGGCCTAACAGTCTGGTTCACTAACCACTAGAAGCTAGTGACTAGACCAACAAGCCAGCCCTTAATAATAATACATTTATTTGTGTGAACCATTCTGGTATTCTTCGAAATGTAGTAAATGGAGATCACTATCTCGCAGGTTGTCTGTAATTCATTGTTCTGCTGGTTGTGTCTTTTTGTTGTCACAAGTTGTGAAATTCACATCGTGGACGGATGATGTTCACTTTTTTTTTTATGCGACAGGAGCGGACGAGCAGACGGGTCACCTGATGGAAAGTAACTATCGCCTCCCATGACCGCCTGCAACTCAGGAGTCACAAACACTTTGACGGCCTTTCAGGAAGGATTACGCTCTTTTTTTTAAGGTTTGATGATAGTATCGGTCCGGAAATACCGCAGACGATAACCCGTTCCACAAATTAGTTGTTGGCAAAAAGTGTCTTGAAAAGCGCACAGTGCGCAGCGGATGAAAATTGTGACGTGTGAATCGAAGGCGAAAAGTTGCGGCCGGTACTAGTTTGAACAATTAATCGGAGTACTCTCCATGATATAACTGATAGAGAATGCAGACTGAAATCTCTAAGTAACGCTAAGGGATCGAGCCGGTCGGAGATCTTTGGGCTTTGATGCTGTCCAGATTGAGACGGCCCCTGCATAGAGATAAGAACAGTATTCTATATGCGGCCGGACTTACACCTTATAGAGCTGAAGGCGGTGGGCCGGAGTGAAATACTGCCTCGATGTGTTCAGCACACCGAGCTTCTTTGAGGCCAATTTAACCTTACCCTCTGAGTGACTCCGAAACTGGACTTCGCTCGATATATCGATGCCTAGGATTTCGATACTGGCCGAGGCAGTTAGGGAGGTGCTCTCAAACCGAGGTCATACGACAAACATCTGGTCCAAAGGAAGTATATGCCCTAAGTATGCATAAATTATGTATATCGGGGAAAAAAACAATGAATTAAGATTGTATATATATTGCTGTTTAATATAGCAAACCGAACTACGAAGCAGACAAAGATTTTAAATATTTTATGCACGTGTGAGTGGCGCTCCACTGTTTCATTTTATCTAAAAGAATTCTAGTAATATTCAAATAACAACTATCTTATTAAACAAAGTAATGAATTTGACTATAAAATTTTCAAATTAAAGCGACACGTGGAAGTTAGTAAAACTACAAATAATAATTGATATTTAATAATATTTGAACAAATAAAATATTAGTTACTCAAATGTGGATAGCGCAGATCCGTATCCCGCAAGTTATCAGCGATCCATTGTTCTGCCTGCTGCGTCATTTCTTCATCAAAATAGTCGCGCCAACCTCCCGACTTGCCTGGATGAAATATACATATAATGATTTAATTAGATTCGCCTGTAAATAGTATGTAGAAAATTTATTTTGTATGTTTTCTGTACAAGCAATGAGTAATACCTTTCCTGACAAAGCTCTGATCGGGAGCGAGCAATCCTAACTCTCTCAATTCTTCGTAATTAATTGACTTGTTGTTTTTAAAGATTTCGAAACTGAGATGTTCGCATAGACGGTCAGACTCTTCTTGACTCAGCTGTTTACCCAAAAAAGTTGCTACGCGCTGTATCGATCCTTGCAAATCCTAATTATAAAAAAAAAATTAACATGGTGCTGTGAAAACCTAAGCCTAATTGTTTTTTTATGATATACCTATGGTCGTTTGCCCCTAAGCAAACCAGCAGATGGGTCACTGGATAAGGGACTACCGCCCCTCATTTACAACTGCAACTAAAGAGTCACAAGTGTATTACCGCTCTTTAAATTCCTCTATCGGTATTAGGAGGAAGGGGGGGGGGGGGGTTGGCCCTCTCGCTCACTTATTCGGTGTAAAGCCAAACGGCCCATTATGAGTCGAAGTATCTCTCTCCCACGGTCTCTCTTATCAAATGAAATGGCGAGAGACAAGGAAGGATACTTGGAGTAAGAGACGTACATACATAAAATCAGAAGAGTGATCTTTATAGTTAGGTCGAATAGTGACGGAGTTATACTCTATCAGGCATTTAGGCGGACAGACAGACAAACTCTTGATGGCTTTATACTATTGGTAGAGATGCATAAGGTCTTAATTATTCAGAACTAACTACGTTATGTTACTACAAAACCGAATATAATTGTAAGCATTATATTTCGTATGGTGGCCGGTGACAAACTAAACTGTGAACTATTAAAGTTCTACATACCTTAGAAAGTTCCTCATAAAACAAAAATAGCATATTAGGATGATTCCTTTTTTCCCAAGCCTCTTTGACATGTTCAAAAATGGGGCAAAATATATCTGAAAGATCAAATTTTGTTGCGCTTTAAAATAGTTAAAAATTGTAAGTTCCAAGTTTAATTTTCTTCTGTCAACATACTCTTTTTAAGGGATTACCTTTAATGCATGTTCTGGAAAATTACGTTACATTTTAATTATACCTATATAAAATAATAATTATTACATTATTAATGTTTACATATTGAAATCATTATAACATGATATTGGCTAAAATGCCCGTAAATTCATTGCTAATCGGCACTAAGTACGACTAATATTAATTTGACACCAATTAAATTATTGGCAGCTACTCCATAATGGTCTTACTCGTACTGTTCATCTTTGTACTGTACCATTTCTATAAAGTGTCAGGACGACGTTACTCATCACCGATCTTAGAACCGTCTTAGAACGAAGAGCTGAGTACTCAAAAAGGTAAGTTACTTTAGAAAAATAACCATGATTAAGTTATGAAGAACATGTCCAATATAAATAGCATTCATGGAAGTTAATCACCCTTTTTTTTTCCGTACCACACCCCCTATTACTAGCGGATATGAATTAGCTAAACCTCTGTTAATAACTTTTAATAATATCTTTACTTACACAAATGTTTGTAGAATAAATTCCAAAACTCTTTGAATGGTACTGGAAGATCATATAACTTGAACAGTTTAGCGTGATGATAACATGACACAGCCACATCCCTTGGGTCGCGTGCAATGTATACCATCTTAGCAGACTCTAGCAAATTGGGATTTAAAAAGGACATTGGAACGTGAGTCTTGATAAAGCGAGGTGTTGACTCCGGCATCTTCTCAAGCATTCCAGAAACAGGTTCGGCAAACATTTGAAATATTTTTCTGAGTTCTTGTTTGTCTAGTAATGAATCACTACATTTTACTATCGCGTCTATTTTATTTGTGTCGATGAGACAGAATTGACTGAAAATTATAAAATATCGGATGTTATCAACATTAATAACAATCGTTATTAACTCGACTTTTAAGGCGTCTCTCATAAAAATATAAAATCTAAAAGAATCTGGGTAAACAATAGGTAGGACGTTGGATCAATGTACTTGCACATAAAATCCTTAAGGTTTTATAAATGCAGAACTGCTGAGAGCAAATTGATCTTTTTAATTTAAAATTGCTCTTAATTCCTTTTTCTATTCTAATTTAACTGAGCTAAATCAATGCTTTCAGTTTAACAGTTGTGCCGCTCCTACATTAATGATAGATTGAGGAGATGGTCTTTTTAGTAACATATAAGCACTGGAGACTAAGGCCACATTCAGATGTTATTGAATCAGAAAGAACAATCACATGTTGTAAACCGTTAACCTTGTAATGCGCGTTTTAATACGACGAGGGCGTGGCCCGGCGTTGTCGCATACTTTGAGATCATTGTTTTGAGTCACATTCGCAAACATAGAAGTTTGCGTGCAAAACCGAAAATTTGAGTTATGTTTGCTTTTTATGCTGACATCAATACGTATACTTACATCTGCGTTCCCGAAACGTGAGTGTTTAATCATCTCTGTCTACATTAAACACTCACATTTTGCTAACTATAATTTGGTTTCACTCACATAATACTCTTAAATGAGTCTGTTGCCACAAATCGAGTACTTTGGGAATTCAAGATCAGAAAATTAGGAAATAAAAGATAGGAAAAAAAATAAAATCAATAGAAAGCAGAGGATATTCTTTAAAGAGATGGATTGGGAGTTATAAGTTTGAGGAGGTCAGTGCCAACCTGTAATTCAAACTGGCTGTTGGAAGCCGTTTCACCAAACCTTTTATGAATAACGATGTGATGTTGTATTTTATTACAAGACTAAAACTTTTAGACAGAGTATCAGAGAAAGAGAGAGAGAAATTACCTAAGCTGAGAGCATCTTTCGCTTTCATTGTCTAATAAAAGTAAGTAATAAATGAACAAATTAATTAAGATTTTCTTACTCCAAAAACGAATATCTTTTTGTAAGTGGGATAGCTGCTGCAGTTTGATAATCTAAATTATTTGCCAACAGCCAAACAAGTTCTTGAGTCCACGTAGTTCCTAAAAGCAAAAAATTGATTTTAAAGGCCTTATTTTTTTTATAGGACTTTTTTTTTTAAGCTCCGATTTCTTTATGAAAGGACTACTTACTTCACACATTTGTATTTCACTCAAATCAAATCATGATTTATTTATTTAGAAATCATGTCCATCATAAGATCATTCAGTCTTTTGGGAGTTTAAGATAAGAGAATATTTTACCTTCTTTGATTATTTATACAAAATATCTGTCACCCGTCTATAGATATACTTAAAAAAATTGTACATTAGTTTGTCAATTAAAACGATTGTGCGAGTGGACTACGTAGAATAACATATTCCAATGAATTCTGCGAACTTTTTTTCATGACTTGGCCCCTTCAACTTGATATACAATAATTAAAAATTGTAATTATGTTTTTTTTAATTAACATCAATTTAAAGTTATGAGCGTAAAATAACTATAAGAATTAAATATCTTCTCTATGTATTTTATGCAATTCTAACCAGATCGTTGATAACTGGCGACAAAAATATCTGTTGGTCTCAGCAGCATGTTGTAGATATTGGCAGCATCTTTCTTATAAGGTTCATATACTATGTAACCCTTTGGTCCAACACGCATTGATTTGGCGATAGAGTCATCATCTGAAATATATATGGTAACGTTTATTATTTTCGAACAATATATATCCTACCAAAAACATTCTCATGTGAAATGTTGCTATGGCGAGATTATATGGCTCTAAGACAGTTTAATTTATCCTGAAACTTTCGGAATGTTTACTCGGTGTGTTGCATGAGTTACAGTGGCGTGGGAGGGTTTAGTCCCCGAAAAAAAACAATGTGTTAGTATTTATGAAACCATGGTGTTTCATGGTTTCATAAATACTAACATATCTAGAATGACCAGAATTATGAAAAACATCCTGCAAAACATATCGCGATAAAGCTTGTAAAACTAGTGTGCTTGATAAGTTGCTCAATATTTAAGACAAATACACGAGAGAAGAGATTTTCACAATTTTCGACAATGATAAAGAAAATGTTGTTGTCAAATGATGAACAATAAGGTAAAATACTACAGAGCATTATATTTTAGTAGGTTTATTAATCATATACTCTCACTGCAGATAAGTTAAAACGAAAAAAAAAATCAATCAAACGTACTTATCATTAATTAAAATGATTTTACGCAGCTTTTTATCTCATCCAGTCGATGCAATTAATGCAATAGGTACTCAATGCAACGACTTTTTCTTTCTATCCATTATCTTGAATTGACAATAATATTGACTGTGTGCTGTTAGCCTAATACTAGATTATGGAGACTGGAAAAACTTAAGAAGGGATTATCAGCTCACACTTAGATGGATACAAGGACGTTGAAAGATGGATAACTTTGTATCCATCTTTCAACGTCCTTGTATCCATGAAAAAAAAACTTCTATTGTAGTAGAGTCCTGCTTTCCATCACTGTGACTCGCAGGAAGGGTGTGAGAGTTTTATACACAGAAGTGTTGTCATTGGGTGCCTGAACAACAGTCGGTTTGATTTTTATTGATGTTGAATACCGCCATTTTGATTTGCAAATTATTTTAGGATAGAATATACCCATCCTTAAGAGATAGACCCTTTCATTATTTCGTTAGCTTAAAGTAATACATAACTAGCTCTTTGTGTGGTCGATAGCAATACATACAGTATAAAAATTATTTTTATGTGATTGTATCCTATGACGTTATTAATACAACACAACATAAGTCAATTAAAATAACGACTTTAAGTATGGGTTTAATTTATATCTCAACTAGCGATCCGCCCCGGCTTCGCACACGTGCAATGTAGATGCTACTAATACTACTAATGTGGTGTCAGTGTGGATTAATTAATTATACTATTATTCTGTTAAGACTATACTACAGAACATCTTTATATGTAATATTTATTGGGACTCTCCGGGACGGAAGCACGACGATAAAGAATAATACTGTATTATTCAAATAGCTTCGTAAATTACCCAATAATTTTGTACAAATGGTCTCCGTGGGTTATCCTTAGGAGATAAATATAAACCAGGAGCTTTTGTAGCTCTTTTTATTAAGATATACAGTTCCGTAGTACTTACATTATTTTGATCTAGTAAGGTTTAGCCAGCGCTTGCTAGGTAAGCAGACAAAAACATATTTTTTACAACTTTACAAAATAAATCTTTGAAATTCTCGTATTTTCTCTGCTATTATATGCTTGTATTATACACATAAACCCGCCTCTTGAATCAATCTCTCTACTGGCTAAAACCGCATTAAAAACAGTTGCGTAGTTTGCCAGATCTAAGAGTACAAGAAACAAAACTATTTTATACTATGTATAGAAGATAGGATACATTTTTAGAATTGTGTCCGTGTGTCCGTCCGATATACAAAAAGGGCAAACATGATGAAGTGTCAAATTATCGACCTATCACGATCTTATCAACCATCAATAAAGTGGTGGAAAAATACTTTAGTGAGCAAATACATTCATTCTACAGAAACCACAATGTAATATCTAAAAATCAATTTGGATTTCAACCCAATAAAAGCGCAACTTTACTGTTATCACAGTTCACAGACTATATAAATACAGCTTTAGATTCTAGGAAACACGTATTGGCTCTTTTCATTGATTTTTCCCGTGCATTTGACTCATTAAATCACGAAAACCTCGTAAAAAAACTGAGCAATACTGGTGTGCGCGGCCCACTAATAAAATGGTGCGAAACATATCTTCAGAATAGGACCTACTGTGTCAACGTAAATGGAAGCTACAGCAAGACCATAACAGCCGATGTAGGAACAGCACAGGGATCAGTGCTTGGCCCTCTTCACTTTATCGCATATGTTAACGAGATGAATAATGATATCAGCCACTGCACTTCCTATCAGTATGCAGACGATACCTGTATACTCATTGCAGACAAAGATGTTTCTACAGCGTTTACTAAAATGCAAGCAGATCTATGTAACATCAGCAAATGGTGTCATGACAACGGACTGGTTCTGAACGCTGAGAAAACCAAATTAATCCACATACGTTCTCCCTATAGCAAAATTCAATGGCCTAAAAACGCTAGGCTGGTGGCTCATGAACATCTATGCCTACACAAAAACAGTAGCATTTGCCAATGTCCTTCTATCGAATCAGTAGACAAACACCCATATCTGGGTCTGATCATCGATAGTAAATTTAACTGGCTACCTCAAATCAACCGAGTCTGTGATCAGTTAAAAGCGTTCCTAGCCAACCTATATATTTAAAAAAATAGAATAACTTTCAGGGTAAAGATTTTGCTTTATAACGCCCTCGTCGACTCTATTATAGGATATGGTATTACAAGCTACGGCAGAATCTTTAAATCTTATCTCAATCGTATCTATGAACTACAGACCAGAATTTTAAAACATATTGTCTCACTGAATAAAAAAGAACAATTTAGAGAAAGAGAAATGGAATTATATAAATACTGCAAGACACTTCCTATCCATATAAAGGTCACTTTTGGCCTACTTAAAGAACACTTTTTCAATGGCTCCATACAGAATGAAATTTCTCATAACATTCAAACTCGTCAAAAAATCACTAAAAGACTGGAGACAGTCCGTGCAGTGAATGTTTACGGTGAAGTATATTATTCCCCGCCTAATAAATAACTTAAATCCTTCCTTTACACAAAGAATAACAAAAGTAAATCTAAAACAAAAATTAAAAACACATTTCGTGAACAGCCTGTAGATTCCCTGTGCGAAACCTGTTTCACTGACTGCAAGTGTCCGCCCGCTCGTCAATACTATTATTTTATTTTATTTTTTTGTATCCTACCCTAAACTTAATACTTTTAAGTCAATGTTATTGATCAATTGCTTATGTTATTCACTTATTAATTGTTAAGTACTAGATTGATTTTGCATATTGTGGCATGCCGCATAAACCCCAGTGGTTTAAGGTTTGCCTACATTTATCTAATTGTGTAGTTATGTAAATAAATAAATAAAAAAAAAAAAAAAATTGCACATGTTTTAGTAAATTCAATAATTTTTATATGTTTAACAGAAGAATCTTTCCGTTATGTCGTATTGCAAATCTGCAAAACAGTTGTAAATGTGGGCCTTTTCCCCAATGGCAAACATATGCGTATATATTATAAACAATTTATTGAAATAGTATAACCGACTTCAATGTGCATCAATGTTCATACTTTAATATATCCCTGAGTATGCTGTTAATAAATACTTCTCTCTCTATATAAATATTTATCACTTTACACAATGCCCTTTCTGAGCCGCTTATCTCCTTTTATAAGATTTTGTTTTGCCTGATTCAGGATGCTAAGTTATAATTATAATTATTGTGATGAACATAAATTGTTGAACATGAAATAGGTAGTTCCCGTGACCATGATCCATAGTCCGTAGATGAGCTTTCCTTCACCAAATATTGAGAAAAGATCAAATAATGGAGAATAAAAAAACACAAATCGTTATAGATTTGCAATTACGGGCAATACGAAAATAAAATACGAAATAAATACGAAATAAAATACGATGGCGAGGATGAATTATTACGCCTCAATATTTATTTGCAATGATCAATTATTACTTACTTGTGTACATCTTGTTCAAGTATTCCTGTTCTTCTGGTTTTATATATTCGAATTCATAGGGAAACAAGGGAGCATTTTGTTTTTCCATAGTCACACACGACTTCTGATTAAAAATGAACACAATGAAGTAATAAAAATTTATTGAAGCGACTCGAGAGACAATGGTCGTAAACAGACGCAGTGCCCTTACTGCAATACAAGTTATCTGTCAATACTTGCTATGCAAGGCAATCTTATGAATATTTATTTGATTTACTTACATAAGGATATCAATATGAAACAAGATCTTATGATGTATATTAAAATTTATTTTTCCTAGGTGGTTTAAAAGATGTAAAAACGATTTTGGTAAATTATCATCAGTCACTTACCTCAGGCCTGTTCAAAGGCTCAATAAAAAAGTCCTGATCAGTAATATTGAGTACTGCAAATTTGTGCCAGTTCTCTTTACCTAGACCAAGCGGATTGAGTCCGTTATAAACTGCTACTATATCCCTATGCATGCCCAGATTAACAGAAAGGAAGTAATTCCTAAGATTACACATCTCACGACTATGGAGTGTTCTGGCATTTAGAAAACCACGAGCACCACATTTTCGTGGAATATACAACCTCATCATCGATGAACGTGGTTAATGCATTCGGTACGCAGTAAGCAATGTACGAACTCTTCTATTCAGGATATCTAGTTCAGTCTAATAGTAGCTAAGTATGCCAAAAGAGTAGATTAGAACTGGTATGTACTGGATAGCATTTGTTTATATTTACCGGATCAGTACATGCGTACAACTGGACGAAGGCACCGTAGACTCCTCGCTCATCCACCAATGTGGCGCTCAGCACATGCCACTACTGCTCCCACTGTCACAGCTATCGAACTGTTTAATAATCTATTGCGTACAGATCAGGATGTCAATATATTCAGTGACAAGCCAAATATGTCTGTAAGAGTACTACTGCACTTGAATTTGTCTTAATATAATTATTTACTTAGAATATAATTATGGTTATGATATTGGTGGTAATATAAATTTGTACTTGTTCTTGTGTTTCAGTCAATTATGTTAATTGTTGTTCTATAATTATTACTCAAAGCTATGGATTATATAATCTTTTGTATTAAACTAGTATAAGTAAGTTTACATTTAAGCGCTTTGGTTCCACAACTGTAAGCTTATTTGTTATAAACAAATGACCCCATCATTATAGGCCCTCTTCTTATTGCCACCTGACAAAAGACTATTTAATACTTTTTTCAATTTATAGTCACTTTTTATTTACACCTAATGCCTGTGATATACCCAGATATTTGTAAGTTTCGTTAGCTGAAAGACATCTAAAGTGCGTGGAATCTGATAGCTCCATCCTATTAGATAATACAACCATGCCTTATTGCACACTTATCTACACCAATTTCCATCCTGATACATTCACTGAACATTTTAGTTATTTCTAGTAAATTTATCAGTATGGAATTTCAAGAAGTAAATAGTTTCAAATAATCCATGTAAAGGAGGTGGGATATAACCTTACCACCTCTCTGCAACGATAGCGTAGCCCTGATCTCTTAAACGTATTGCTAAGAGGACTCAAATCTAGGTAAAACCACGAGGGTTTTAAACAGTCACCCTGAAATATACCCCGCTCTATCTTTATGTAATCATCGTTGAGATTGCCGACATCCTGGATATCAAAGAACCGTTCTCCATTGCTGCAATACAAGTCTCCAGAAAAATGCATAGAGTTGTATCAATCTTGTACAACTCCATCACCCTCAAGAGCCACGTATGCGGCACAGAGTCAAAAGTCTCTTTAAAATCTATCCAACATGTCGCTAGATCTTTTCGGTTACGGCGAACTTGTTGGTTAATAGTCGTGTCAATAACAAGGGGCTCTTTAGTGCCACGTGCTGCACCTCTACATCCATTCTGAGAGTGCTTGAGGGATAAGTTTTAATAATCACTTTCCTCGAATTGTGTCGACATTTTTTTCCATTTCTTTTTTTACAAATTATTAATGACTCTTATAAAAACTTTATGTAGAAATAGAAAGATTTTATTAATTTGAATTGGTAATTATCACTAAAATATTAATCTTTCTTGTGTGGAATGACGGAATACAGTTTAGTCATTATATATTTTTTATCTTTGATGATTCAATAAATTTCTTTACAAATTCTTTATTAATTGTCTGTAGTCACAATACCTTAATTTTTTGAATATTTGCCTAGATCTGGCTGATATTCTATGATGAGTGAGGGACCGCACTTAAAAGTATAGGTTATTAAATATTTGTTAACAAATTCCCATATTTATTCTACAATATTTCAAGTCTACTACTGAATCGTGTGACTTTTATTTTACGAAATATAAGTATGGTCCTTTAGTTCTCACGCACGCACGTTATTGCAGTTACGCATTTGGTGCTACATAAATCCTTTTTGAACCCTATTTAGACACAACGAATGGGTTGCAAAGTGCGGCCTCCATACCATACTGCAGCAATTTAAAATACTTCTCACTAAGCTGCTGTAAACCATAATTTTTGGCCTACCACTACGATTTTTTTCATTCCTAATAAGAAACCTTTCTTGATGCTTTTTTAATTGAACCGTATATTCGTGGTAAACATGTTCTCAAAATTAAAAAATATAGTTATCTTGATCATAAGGTTGTCTCCATATGTGGGTAGCGTAGATCTGTATCTCGTAAATTATCTGTGATCCAACGTTCTGCCTGCTCTGTCATTTCTTCATCAAAGTAGTCACGCCAACCTCCCGACATACCTGGTGATAAATAGAAATCGGTAAAATATAAAAAAAAAATTGATTGAAGAAAGCATACATCTTTAAATCGTACCTTTTCGGATGAATAATTCATTATTATCAAGCATTCCATGGTTCCTTAACTCTTCTTGGTTGACTGATTTATTGTTTTTAAAGTTTTCGAAACTGAGATGCTCGCATAGACGCGCCGTTTCTAATGGTGACAAACTTTTTCCTAAAAAGTCCGCAACACGACATACAAAACCTGACAAATCCTGCAACCAGTTAAATACTCAGAAGAATAATAAAACAATAACAGTATTTTTGGGATAGCAAATGTGCAGCTTAGAATGAGTGAAGCTAGTTTTACTTCAAGATCTTACGGAACTTTGTATATTACCCATTTATTACCTTTGAAATGTTTTCATAAAACAAAAATAGCATATTCGGATGATGTCTTTTTTCCCACGCTTCTTTGACATGTTCGAAAATAGGACAGTACACAACTGTAACAATAGGTTAACAAGTACATCAATCATTTTAACAAAAAGTTGAAACGACTGCAGGCAATACTAACAAAGATCACTAAAAACCAAGCAGCAATCGCGGTTGATTTGCTGTCATTTTTGAAGAGTTCCGTTGTCTGCCTTCGAAACTTATCATCAAATCTGTATGAAATTTAAATAGGACCATTTCAGAATAAACTCCTTTCAAACAAAGAAAGAATTTTGAAAATCCGTTTGTATATGACGGAGTTGTACCGAGTTGTACCCGAACGTATTTAAAAAAAAACATCCGAATTGATAATCTCCTCCTTTGTGGAAGTCGGTTAAAAACTTGAAATTGCCAATTATTTGGTCGTTTTGGTAACTCTAACATAGCTAGCAAGTATAACTTGATAATGTAACTTACACATATTTTTGTAAAATAAATTCCAAAATTCTTTGAAGCCGTATGGAAAGCGTATTATCTTGAATAGCTTCGCGCAATGATAGCACGACACAGCTACATCCCTAGGATCTCGTGCAACGTACACCACTTTTGCAGTGTCTAGCAATTTGGGATTCAGTAAGGACAATGGTATATGAGTCTTAATAAAACGAGGAGTTGACACAGGTATTTCTGCCAGCATTTTACTTATTGGCTGGGCGCACACGGTATATATTTCTTTTAAGGTATTTTCATCCAAGTGTGAATCAATACTTCTTATAAATGCATCCAGTTGGTTACCGACAAAGAACATAAAAAATCTGAAACAAGGTTATTTTTTAAGTTGTTTATTTATTTTTATTTATTAATATACTCTATTATTTAATCTAGTAAAAAATTTTCTGCAAAATAATACCTAATTTTCAAACCCGACCACTACCGCACAGGCTGTTGCTTTGCCCCTCTATTTTAAATCTCTGTTATCTACTAAAAAACTCACTTTAATGATATGCTGTAGAAGGCAATTTTTATCAAAATAAAATATAAATTGTCCGTGTAGTGACCGATTAAGAATACGGAATGTCACTACCCCAATTCATCCCGTGGGTGTCTTAAGAGCCGACTAAGGGCGCAAAACAACGCAGGACACCAGCACTGCAAGAAGAAGGAAAACTTGACACAAACCCTATACCAACCCGTCTGGCCAACGTGGTATAGAAGGCCAAAACCTCCTTTCTAAGCAGAGGCTTATGTCCAGCAGTGGACTATTGAAGGCTGTCGATGATGATGACGAGATATACAACATATTTATTTGCATAAAACACACACTATATGTGTGTGTGACACATTTAGTGCCACACACACATATATTGGCTGGAACGCGACCGTGTTGCAACTTCTATGTGGATCTCTCAGTGATAAAAAACAATATTTAATGTTTAAACTGAGAGTTTTGTTCGCGTAAATACTTTATCAGTTGGAGTGGACTCAGTGTGAAGCAAATATAAGTTGATTTCGATCGTACAAAGTTTGATTGTTTGGTGTAAACAAACAATCGAAGAAGGTGCGTGCGGTTGGGACTAAATCGTGAGTTTATTTGATTTTCATGCGTGAGCGAACCGCGTAACCGCTAAAGTTCCTTGCATCGGGCGCTTATGCGGCTTACAAGCAGTGCTACCAACGCTACGGCAGCATTCCATTGCAAACGTTCCACCTACAAAATAAAAAATTAATCTTACGCATTAACTTGGTAGGATTCGAACACTTGCTACCATGGAGTTCATATGTTGTTGTTTACGTACTAAAAATGCAAGTAAAGAATTAGCATGCTGCAAATGTAACGATAATTACCACATCAGATGTATCTTCCATGATAAGGAGGAAACATGGACTCCGGATAAGAAGTTCCTGTCCTCGTGGCTGTGTCCTAAATGTACTCGAGGGGATCAAAGGGATAATAGAGATGAGACGCCAATGCGCCAATTCGCAAATGTTGCGAAGGTACAAGCAGAGACCTCACCGTCACATCTAAATGTTACCTTGCGAAAAAATTCAACGGCCAAAAGAGAGGACTTGGTCTCGATATCAAAGGAAACTTTGCGTAGCATTATCAGGGAGGAAATTAATGTGGCTTTCTCAAATATTAATAGTACCCTAATAGAACTAAAGACTGAAGTTACTGATCTGCAAAATAGTGTTAAGTTTATGAGTGAGAAGTATGATTCCTTGATAGAGAGGATATCTTGTGTGGAAGAAAAGACTAAAGCAGTAAGTATGCTCGAATTAGAAATCAGGACTTAAAGAGTCAGATAAAGGTAGCGAACCTTAATATTGAAAAGCAGGAACAATGGGGTAGACGGTCTAACATCGAGATCATTGGTTTACCGGAGAAAAAGGGAGAAAATCTTATTGAGACCCTCGCTAATCTAGCTACTATTGCCAAGTTTGAACCTTTGACCCACAAACTGACATTTATTTCGTGACTAGAGTGGCTCACGCGAATAAAAATCTTAAGAAACCAAAGCCAGTCGTAGTACGTTTCCTGGCTAGATATAAAAAACATGAGTTTTTATCCCGTTTGAGAGAAAAAAAAGACTTAAAAGCTTGCGATATAGGGTACTCCGATAATACAGCGCGCATATTTTTAATGAACATCTGACAAGTAATAACAAATCTTTTTTTAATAAATCGAAGAAGGTAGCTGAAGAAAAGCAATATAAATATGTATGGGAAAAAACTACTCAATTTTAGCGAGGAATAACGACTCTAGCGCGGCGATTCACATTCCGTCTGAAGATGACTTAAAAAAGCTAATTTAATAAGATATGTTTGTGATAATAATTTTCCTATGTTACTTTTGCTTATCTTTGAAATTTTATGGTTGTGATATAGGTTATACTGTAAACAGGACTTGGCAGAGGTGGAACGGATCTTATATGCTTTTGGAATTATTTTGTTGGAACTTATGGAGGAGTAATTGATACATTCAAAGTGCCATACTCAATATAATGTCGCGGTAAGTTCATACAGAACAATCTTCAACTGAGTGATGAAGTGGCTTTTCATGATAAAGTTTCTGTCTGTCTTAGCATGTCCAAACGACCGATTTTTAATAATGGGTGATTTTAACATAAGAAATGCACAATGGACATCAATAGGCCAAAGTAATTATTCTCTTCTGAAATCTTTAAATGTAACCACAAATCCATTGGTAGTAGAATTGTCAAACTTTTTATCGTTTAACAATTTCTCGCAGTATAACTTAATTCCAAACTTAAATGATCGACAACTCGATTTAATAATATGTCATTTTGATTGTGCTGTTCTCAAGTCACTATTCACAGTGGTAAGTGAAGATTCTCATCATCCTGCCTTAGATATTTCTATATGTACTTAATGCAAGTTTAAATACTTTACGTGCTCCCACCAGAACATCACGTATTTTTCATAGTGCTGATTATGATTTTATGATTGCCATTCTAAGCCTTTCTAAGGAGAGGCTTATGTCCAGCAGTGGACTATTAAAGGCTGTTGATGATGATGATGATGATTCTGTCAGATATTGATTGTGATTGTGCTCCATTTTATACGTACATGATAATAATCAATCTGTAGTAAGGTTTTATAACATCTTAGAGGAAATTTTCGTTGCTTATATCCCAGTTAAAACCATTTATAGTAATAATAATTATCCGATATGGATCCCAGCCTTGATAAAAATTATAAAGGAGAAGTTGAAGTTTCATAAGAAATGGAAATGTTTTGGTCAGTATAGGGATTACTCTACGTTTGTTCTTTTAAGAGATAGACAGAAAAAGTTAGCGAAGAAATGTGATGATAATTATATACAAAAAACTGAGAGTATTCTTGCTAAAAATAGTAAATACTTCTGGACGTACGTTCAATGCAAAAAACAGACAAATGGCCTTCCTGGCAGCCTGTAAATTATCGCCCTATCTCAAAGCTCAGTATCATTCCTAAACTTTTTGAACATATTGTCTGTGATATAAACGCCACAAATTACACCAAAATTAATACCTGAGCAACATGGTTTCACGTCCCGAAAGTCTACCGAAACGAATCTGTGTGAATTTGTTGAGAATGTAACCGCAGCCATGGATGAAGGTTTTCAGGTGGATGTCGTGTATACCGATTACTCCAAAGCATTTGATAAAATTTCTCATAGAATACTAATTTGTGAGCTACAGAGTATCGGTATATACGGTGATTTACTGCGGTCTTATCTAAAGGATCGTAGTCAGATTGTTACTATCAAGTGCTTCTGTTCAACATTTATACCCATTGCATCAGGTGTACCACATATCAACACGCTTTAATAGTCTACTTCTGGACATAGGCCTCTCCTTAGAAAGAAGGTTTTGGCATACTATAACACGCTGGCCAGACGGGTTGGTATAGGGGTTTTGGGGTGGGGCAAACTTCCAAGAGGCGGCGCGCCTGGCCACAGGGGGAGTCTCCCTGGTGGTCGGGCGCATTGAGGCGCTGGGCTTACGGGTGGCCCTAGATAAGACGGAGGCCCTGTTATTCCATGGGCCCCGTCGTGGTCCACCCCCTGGCGCCTCCATCGTGGTCAACTCGGTCCTCGTACCGGTTCGGGCCCAGATGAAATATCTGGGCCTGATCCTCGACGGGAGGTGGCTCTTCGACGAGCACTTCCGACAGCTTGCTCCAAAGCTGGTCGGCGCTGCGTCTGCCCTAGGGCGACTCTTGCCCAATATGGGTGGACCCAGCGTCGCGACAAGACGGCTGTACACGGGGGTTGTCCGGTCAATGGCACTGTACGGTGCACCGGTGTGGGCGGCGGCTCTGACCGCCCAGAATAGGGTACGCCTCTGGCGCCCTCAGAGGGTAATGGCGGTCAGAGCCATACGCGGTTACCGCACCGTTTCGACGGAGGTGGCATGCGCATTGGCCGGAACTCCCCCGTGGGATTTGGAGGCGGAAGTGCTCGCCGAAGTTTATCGGCGAGTGGCTGACTTCCGGGCGGAGAGCGGATTTCGCCCTCCGCCCGAGGATGTGCGCGAGTGGCGCGAAGCCGCTCGCCGAGCCACGATGGCTCGTTGGTCGTTCCGGCTGGAGACTCCACGCGCTGGCTTCGCCGCCGTGGAGGCTCTCCAGCCGGTCATCGCCGAGTGGGCAGGGCGGCAGCACGGGACCCTTTCCTTCCGACTGACGCAGGTGCTTTCCGGGCACGGTTGCTTCGGAAAGTACCTGCACACGGTCGCTAGGAGGGAACTGAGTCCCGCCTGCCACCACTGCGACTGCAGTGAGGACTCGGCCCAGCACACGCTGGCGGTCTGCCCCGCATGGGCGGCGCAGCGCCGGGCCCTCACTGCAGTCATCGGAGTGGATCTCTCGCTACCGGCCGTAGTACGCTCCATGGCCGGTAGCGACAGTTGTTTTACCGCGGTCGCAACCTTCTGCGAGGTAGTAATCTCGCGGAAGGAGGCGGCGGAGAGGGCCCGGGAGGACGACCTCCACTCGGACCCGATCCGCCGCCGGCGAACCGGGCGGCGGAGGCCCGCCTACCACAGCCTCATGCCGCCCTGAGTGTGGCCGCGGGTGGACGGGGTGGGTTTCCCCTCCACCCGCATTAGTTGGCCAGCCGCGAGGGGGCGGCGTCCGCGTGTGCCGGACGTCGCCTAAAGAGAGGAACATCTACAATGAGACGGAGCCCGCACCAGGAGCGGGCTGGCGCTAGGAGGGGTCCGGATGTCTTAACAACAGCTGTTCCCGGATCCCTCCTGTTACAGGCGCAGAGTGGCACACCGTGTGGTTTTAGTCGGTCCGAGTCCGACACACCACCCCGCCGCAAACCCCGGAGGGGTGACGGTCCGAGGGGATTTCCACACGTTAAAAAAAAAAAAAAAAAAAAAAAAAAGTGGCCACCAAGTCCGTGAACCTTAAGGGCTCGTTTGTGAGGGCCCTTAAGGACTCCTCCTCCGCTTTGTCGGAGGTCGTGGAGGGCCTAGTGGGCGATGTGTCTCGCCTGCAGGTGGCCAACGAGAGGTTGACGGAGCGGGTGAACGAGCTGAGCGCTCAGTTCGCCCGCTTCCAGGCGAACCTCCCCGAGCGGGAAGCCCCGTCCGCGTCCCAGCCTGCCCCTACCACCAACTCAGGGGCATTTGACTCCCAACTGCGAGAAATCCTCATCGCAGTTGGGAATATGCTGGACGGACGCCTGGCTGGCCTGGAGGCGAGACTGCCCCCTGCGCCGATTATGCGCCCCCCGCTCGCGTCGGCACAGCGGCCTAAGGCCGCCGCTCCGACCGCGCTCCCCGTAGTGGGAGGCCGCGTTTCATACGCGGCGGCGGCGTCTGCCCCTACTCCATCGGCTCCTCAAAAGCCGAGGAGGGGGGCCAAGGCACCGGCCCAGGCGCCGGCCAAGGCACCGTCCCAGGCGCCGGCCAAGGCGCAGGCCAAAGTGCCGGCCAAGACGGGGCCTAAAACAGCGCCGAGGAGCGGAGTGGCATTCCCTCCGCTCCCCACTCCGACACCCCTGCCGGGCCCCTCCGCACCTGCCCCCTCCAACGAGGGTTGGCAGGAGGCGAGGGGCTCCAAGAAGTCCCGAAGGCGGGCCAAAAAGGCTGCCAAAAAAGCAGCCCAAGCCCAGCCTTCGCCACCGGTGGCAACGGCCTCCACAAAGAGGCCGCGGAAGCTGCAGCCGCCCAAAACCGCGGCTGTAGTGGTGACCGTGTACCCGGAGGCGGCGGACGGCGGGCTGTCCTACGCGGCCGTCTTCAAAAAGGCCCGGGAAAGCCTCACCAACGACTTTGGAACGGTGGGGGTCAGGATGCGCCTCGCCCAGACGGGAGCTCGAGTACTCGAGTTCCCCGGGGCTGAAGGCGCTAAGACGGCAGACACATTTGCCGAGAAGCTGCGGGGTTTATTCGCGACCACGGATGGTGTAAAGATCGCCAGGCCTACTAAGTGCGCAGAGTTGCGCATCTCGGGCCTGGACGACTCCGTAACGGCCGAAGATATCCGCGCTGTAATCCGGGAGAAGACGGGGTGCAGCGCGGACAACGTCAGGGTCGGCACCATCCGCCCCGGTCCAGGAGGGCTTGGCGCCGTGTGGGTCAGCTGTCCCGTAGCGTCGGCCAAAGTATTGGCCGACGCCGGCAGGCTGCTCGTCGGTTTCGTGAGCGCCAGGATCACAGTCCTGGCGGCGAGACCGATGAGGTGCTACAAATGCCTAGCATCGGGACACACGCGCGTCAAGTGCGACAGCTGTTTTGACTGCGGCGGACTGTGTTTCCGCTGCGGTCAACCGGGGCATAAGGCGGCAGAATGCTCTGCCGCCCCTCACTGCCCAGTGTGTGCGGCGGGCAATAAGCCCGCCAATCACCAGATGGGGCAGAGAGGCTGTAAGCCTCCCCGCAGTTCTCGGCAGACGTCAGGGGCTAGCCAGTCGACCCAGGCTACCCCCGACGTCAATATTGCGTCGACGTCGTCGCCCATGGAGGAGGTTGTAGAGACGATCCAGTAATGGATCAAGTCTCCAACCTCCTGGTCCAGACGAACCTGAACCACTGTGCCGCGGCGCAGGATCTTTTCCTGCAAACCATGGCACAGTGGTCGATAGGTGTTGCCGTAGTCGCGGAGCCCTATTCTGTCCCTCCCCGTCCAAACTGGATGGGTGACTGGGACGGCTCCGTGGCAGTCGTCGGTTCCACGACGGCTCATTCCCCGCCCTTGTCGCTAAGAGACAAGGGCACTGGATATGTTGCCGTCGAGTGGGGGGGGATCACCATATATGGTGTCTATTTCTCCCCCAACCGGAGTTTGAACGACTTCGAGGTTTTCTTAACCAGTTTGGAGACCTCGATACGGCGACTAGCGTCTGGGCACGTCCTTGTGCTGGGGGACTTCAACGCAAAGTCCATTGCGTGGGGTTCCCCCAGGGCGGACGCCAGGGGCGAGGCCGTAGAGGAGTGGGCGGCCTCGGTGGGCCTCTGTCTTCTAAACAGAGGCTCCACCAACACGTGCGTGCGACAGCAGGGGGGGTCGATAGTGGACCTCTCGTTCGCTACCCCTGCCCTCGCCGCACGAGTAAGGAACTGGCGTGTCCTGGAAGAGGTTGAGACGCTCTCGGATCACCTGTATATCCGATTTGAGCTCTCCCGGACCCAGGACTCCAGTAGGGGTCACGTGGCGCGGTGTTTATCCCGCTTTCCGCGGTGGGCTGTTGCCAGGCTGAACCGGGACCTACTAGAGGAGGCAGCCATAATTCACTCGTGGCTGTCTCCTCAGGCTCCGACCGAGGAGGTCGACGTGGGGGCTGGCCGCTTTCGCGATGCGATTACGCATGTATGCGATGCGGCCATGCCCCGCGTTCGAGGTCGTCGGCCTCCAAGGAAGGAGGTCTACTGGTGGTCCCAGGAGCTGGCGGACCTCCGTGCGGCCTGTACACGTGCCCGGAGGTCCTACACGCGCAGTCGGCGGCGTCACCGTGGAAACGGTGAGGAGGACCGGCTTCATGAGGAGTACCGACGGGCGCGGAAAACTCTGAAGCTGGCCATTAGCCGCGCCAAAGAAGAAAAAAGACAGGAGATGCTGGAGGGTCTTAATCGTGACCCCTGGGGTCGCCCTTACCGCGCGGTGCGACAAAAGCTCCGCGCGTCGGGCCCCCCCCTTACGGAGACTCTCCAGCCCAGCTTCCTGCGAGAAGTGGTTGAGGGCCTTTTCCCACAACGGGCGGAACACACTCCCCCGTCGATGGCCTCCTTGGCCGGAGACGACGGGGAGCACGGGGAGGATAATGTTCCGCCCGTCCGGGAATCGGAGGTAGGGGCGGCTGTTCTACGGATCCGTTCCAAGAACACCGCCCCTGGGCCAGACGGGGTACCGGCCCGAGTGCTGGCCCTGGCCCTCAACCACATGGCAGACCGCCTCGGGGAGGTGTTCGACGCTAGCTTGGCGTCGTGACGCTTCCCAGAGTGCTGGAAGAGCGGGAAGCTGGTCCTATTGAGGAAGCCGGGACGGCCTGCCGATTCGGTCGCGGCCTATAGGCCCATCGTGCTGCTGGACGAGGCGGGCAAATTGTTTGAGAGGGTTCTTTCTGCCCGCATCGTCCGGCACCTCTGCGAGGTGGGCCCCGATCTGTCGGACGCCCAATTTGGTTTTCGGGCGGGGCGTTCGACGGTCGACGCCGTGTTGCGCCTGGGGGCCGTGACCGAAGAGGCCGTGAGCTGTGGCGGCGTGCTGTTGGCGGTGTCATTGGACATCGCCAACGCATTCAATAGTCTGCCATTCAGCTGCATCAGGGAAGCACTCCACTATCATGGGGTGCCAAAGTACCTGAGGCGGCTGGTGGCAGACTATTTAGAGGAGCGTACCGTCGTGTACGAGGACCGAGAAGGTTATTTGAGGTGTCGGCCCATGTCGTGCGGTGTTCCACAGGGGTCTGTTCTTGGACCCCTCTTGTGGAACATAGGGTACGACTGGGCCCTTCGCGCCGATTTCCCCCCCGGGCTGGGTGTAGTCTGTTACGCAGACGATACCCTGGTGACAGCCCGGGGGGCAAACTTCCAAGAGGCGGCGCGCCTGGCCACAGGGGGAGTCTCCCTGGTGGTCGGGCGCATTGAGGCGCTGGGCTTACGGGTGGCCCTAGATAAGACGGAGGCCCTGTTATTTCATGGGCCCCGTCGTGGTCCACCCCCTGGCGCCTCCATCGTGGTCAACTCGGTCCTCGTACCGGTTCGGGCCCAGATGAAATATCTGGGTCTGATCCTCGACGGGAGGTGGCTCTTCGACGAGCACTTCCGACAGCTTCCTCCAAAGCTGGTCGGCGCTGCGTCTGCCCTAGGGCGACTTTTGCCCAATATGGGTGGACCCAGCGTCGCGACAAGACGGCTGTACACGGGGGTTGTCCGGTCAATGGCACTGTACGGTGCACCGGTGTGGGCGGCGGCTCTGACCGCCCAGAATAGGGTACGCCTCTGGCGCCCTCAGAGGGTAATGGCGGTCAGAGCCATACGCGGTTACCGCACCGTTTCGACGGAGGTGCGCGTTGGCCGGAACTCCCCCGTGGGATTTGGAGGCGGAAGTGCTCGCCGAAGTGTATCGGCGAGTGGCTGACTTCCGGGCGGAGAGCGGATTTCGCCCTCCGCCCGAGGATGTGCGCGAGTGGCGCGAAGCCGCTCGCCGAGCCACGATGGCTCGTTGGTCGTTCCGGCTGGAGACTCCACGCGCTGGCTTCGCCACCGTGGAGGCTCTCCAGCCGGTCATCGCCGAGTGGGCAGGGCGGCAGCACGGGACCCTTTGACCCTTTGAAGCAGGTGCTTTCCGGGCACGGTTGCTTCGGGAAGTACCTGCACTCGGTCGCTAGGAGGGAACTGAGTCCCGCCTGCCACCACTGCGACTGCAGTGAGGACTCGGCCCAGCACACGCTGGCGGTCTGCCCCGCATGGGCGGCGCAGCGTCGGGCCCTCACGGCAGTCATCGGAGTGGATCTCTCGCTACCGGCCGTAGTACGCTCCATGGCCGGTAGCGACAGTTGTTTTACCGCGGTCGCAACCTTCTGCGAGGTAGTAATCTCGCGGAAGGAGGCGGCGGAGAGGGCCCGGGAGGACGACCTCCACTCGGACCCGATCCGCCGCCGGCGAACCGGGCGGCGGAGGCCCGGCTATCACAGCCTCATGCCGCCCTGAGTGTGGCCGCGGGTGGACGGGGTGGGTTTCCCCTCCACCCGCATTAGTTGGCCAGCCGCGAGGGGGCGGCGTCCGCGTGTGCCGGACGTCGCCTAAAGAGAGGAACATCCACATTGAGACGGAGCCCGCACCAGGAGCGGGCTGGCGCTAGGAGGGGTCCGGATGTCTTAACAGCAGCTGTTCCCGGATCCCTCCTGTTACAGGCGCAGAGTGGCACACCGTGTGGTTTTAGTCGGTCCGAGTCCGACACACCACCCCGCCGCAAACCCCGGAGGGGTGACGGTCCGAGGGGATTTCCACACGTTAAAAAAAAAAAAAAAAAAAGGGTTTGTTTCAAGTTTTCCTTATCTTTGTAGTGCTGCTGTCTGCGTAGTTTGCTCCTATAGTCCACTTTTACGACACCCACAGGATGAACAGGGGTAGTGACAGTCCGTATTCTTAATCCGTCACCACACGGAGTAATCTTTTTAACTTATAATTATTGCAACCAAAACGAAAATGAAAATTGAAATTTCAAGACACAGAAGCTCAGTCAAGTATCTCAAAGGAGCTTGAGTAAATAGACTCCTTCCCACGCCTTGCTGCGCTGAGGTGATGAAAAAGGAAAGCGCAAAATAATATTTTGTTAGTGAAACACGTAGCTGGTTATTAGTTTACTTACTCTAAAAAGAAATATCTCTCTGTAAGTGGTACCCCTGCCGCTTTGGAGTAGTCCAAATTATTTTGTATCAGCCAAACAAGTTCTTGAGTCATCGTTGTACCTAAAATGTGTGTTTGGGTTAAGGTATAACTGTTTAAAAAAGTGAAAAGCAGCATTTTCTTTTTTTGACATATATTTCGATTTGAAGATTTTTCTTACTAATTACTTTGTATTCGTACCAGAATGATGAGTTGCATTTGCAATTATATATAACAGTTAATAGTGTTTTACAAACCTGATCGTTGATAGCTGGTGACAAATACGTCTGTTGGTCTCAGTGGCATGTTGTAGATATTAGCAGCATCTTTCTTGTAAGGTTCATACAACATGTAACCTCTGGGTCCAAAACGAGACAAACGATAGACATTAACGATAGCTGAAATACGAACATAAAACTTTTTTGTAAATATTGTTTTCGTACGTTTTAAAAAAAAAAGCATGCAATGCAAGCAGTTTGAATAATAGAGGGGAAGTATGTGTTTGATTTTATAGTTATTTTGGTCAACTTTTCTTGTTTCTCTTAGTTTTCTTCGACAATCCCGGCTTCTTCTACTTATGAAACTGATCTTAGAAATATTTTCAAGTACATGAATACAAATGCTTGTATTTCTCAGAGTGGATCTTTTAGGATATTCTATACTTCTAGACTACTGTTATAACTTTGTTAAGGAGGAAAATTGATTAAAACACTCTAATGAAACCAATCATGATACCTTTCTTGTTGTAAGTTGGTGATGAATTGACGTGTAAGTAATAATAGATTACAAAGACGCTACTGTAAAAGTAACTTAATATATAACAATGTATTATGTTTATTTCAAGGGAACGAATCATCATCATTACTAACAGCGTTTAATAACCCACTGCTGGACATAGGCCATAAGAAACGAATATTAGATATAAAAACCACCATACTTACATCCAAAAACTTTATCTATTTGCTCTTGTTCTTCTGGTGTCACATCGTTAATTTCGTAGGGAAAATGTAGATATTTTTGTTCTCCCATAATCGCCGAATAAAACGAGACTAAGAAAACAACTGTATGTTTACTTGTTTAAAAGAGTGTTCGTCAATAAATAATGTACTATCATGTTAGTAGATAAGCCTAAAATAGAGTTCCAGAGTTGCCATTGCAGAAATTTCAAGTTCATTTTTAAGATTTAATAATAATAAAATTTTGTTTCGTATTTAAAGAGCACTACTGACAAAAACAAAACTTGTATATAAGTAGTTGGTCGGATACAACAACAGTAACTCGTATAATTTTATTCACAATTAGTTTACGATAATACCCCGTAACATAAACAAAATTAACTTAACATTTTCTTTAGCAAAAAAGTTCAAAAGCGCGAAGGTTGGCTTTTTTTGTAGGTATGGAAGTCCCCTCGGAATTTAACCGAATACAACCACACGGCATGCTACACTGCACCTAAAACAGCCAGGGTTCACGAGCAGCTGGTATTAGGTGGAAGCGAAAACCCGTCCCGTCCACCCGATTGGTATTGGTATCGGTTGTGGGCTCCGGTTTCCGCATTTAGACTCAAGAGTGGTCCTTTATGCGTCGAGGATAGGTTGGCTAGGGGAGACAACCAACCTCCTTGAAGAAGGGCAGAAGCCTCCGTTCACAAGCTTCTAGGAGCGATTTTGTATCAGGAATGATACTTGCCCGTTGTGTGGCCACTCCCACGCTTTCCAGGATTACGTGGGTGGCCGTTTCTTCTGCTTTCAGACATCCTCTGCAAAGATGACTGTCCGTCGCATTAGTCGTGAATAATTGTCGGTTCAGGGCTAGGTGTCCTGTTATCGTTCCTACAACTATTCGGATTTCTAGTCTGCTATGACTGCAGGTGAGTCGTGGTGTGACTTCAGTCAGCACCAGTTTGGACTGTCTGCACCTGGGTGAGTTTTTCCACCTCCGGTTATGTGCTTTACGAGTCCGTTACTTGGCCCAAAATCGTAGTTGGTTGAACGGTAGTGGCAGGAGTATGGTTGGGCCGGTAGCCGGGGTTGCCGAGCCCATCCTTGCCAACTCATCTGCGGTGTCATTCCCGTGTGAGTTACTGTACCCTTTAATCTATTGGAGGAGTACCTCATTTAATGTGGCAAGCTGTTCCAATGCTTGATGGCATTCGAAGACAACACCAGAGGTCATTGTGTTGGCCTCTAATGCCTTTAGGACGGGAATGCTGTCGGTTAGTTGTCAGATGTTATAGTCCTTAATATCCCTTGATATGGCCGTTGTGGCGGCGTAAGTTTTGTCACACATTCGCATTGGAAGATGGAACTGTGTGGCCTAACGGTAGTGATATGTTCATGTTTAGGTCCCACGAGAAAACTCCGGCCCAAGTTCCTGACATAGTCTTGGAACGGACCGTGTAAATTCGGACCTCGTCCGGATTCAACATCAACAGCCTATACTAGTCCACTGCTGGACATAGGCCTCTCCTTAGAAAGGAGGTTTTGGCCTACTATACCACGCTGGCCAGACGGGTTGGTATAGGGTTTGTTTCAAGTTTTCCTTCTCTTTGCAGTGCTGTTGTCCTGCTTAGTTTGCTCCCTTAGTCGGCTCTTACGACACCCACGGGATGAATTGGGGTGGTGACAATTTGTATTCTTAATCCGTCACCACACGGACTCCGGATTGATCTCTGTCATTGTCTTGTATCTGAATCTGGTATCTTTTTGTGAAAATATTGTGTTATGTTTTGGGATTCTATCGCATGGGGCTGCTATTAGTTGTTTGTATTCCACTAATTGATCCCATAATTTTCGCACCCTCACCTTTATGCCATAGACCCAGGTATCTAAGTCTAATGATCGCCATGGCGGCCTCCTGCTGTAGGCACAAATCTAGTGGGGGTAGACCAAGAGCCATCTCTAGTGCGGCAATTGGCGTTGTGCGCATACAGCCAGTGACTGCAGAGCATGGGAGTCGCTGGAATTGCTGGAATTGCTGCAATCTGTTTATGGCGGTGCCTAGCTCAGTTCTCTGCCACTGTACAATAGCACCCTAAGTGATAATTGGTCTTAAGACTGTTCTATAGAGCCATAGCCATATCCCTAGCTTTTGCTGAGTAGCCGTTTACATTGGAAGAAGAAAATACAGGCCTTGTTTAGTTTTTCATCAAGGTGCTTATTCCACAGGAGTCTACTGTCCAGTATTAATCGTAGGTATTTGACCTCTTTGGTAAGAGCTGGTTGCGTTCCAAATAGGTTAGGTAGTCTGAGATTTCCTAGACTACGTTTGTTTGTGAACATAATCATCTCTGTTTTCGATGGGATGGCGTCGTACACCGCCCTAAGGGCATCCTCTGGCCACCTCCCCTCTAGTCGCTTCACTTACAGTAAATTGAATAGCTCTATATCTTAGCATGCTGTCGATCCACCCTGAGATTGTGGAATCAACATCATGTCTAGACAGAGCTTGGCTAATGCTGGTGAAATTGGTTTTGTCAAAGGCACCCTTGATATCCACCACCACTTTATATGAATAATACAGTACAATTTATGGAAATATTTGCGAAATGCGCGAAAGACACGGATTCATTGCTTGTGTGTAGCAAATTTATTTATAAATATTTTACCTACCATTATACTGGACTGTGTGCCAAAAAAAATAACATTAACCAGTTAATTTTGATATAATAACAACTATCCAAAATAGGTAATCTTTTTTTAAGTGCGGTAACCTCACGGGTTATCCTCTATACAAGACAATAACGGGGTTTATCGGGCTCTAACGTAAAGTTCGGGTTAAGTTTATCAGACTAGGCCGATAAATATTTACATTCGGGTGGTCTTAAGAGGTAGAATTTTAGAGGTGTAGATAGAATTTTGGTATATTAAATGAAGAATTTAGCATAGCAGGTTTACTTGTAGTAAATCTATCTAAAATTTTGTAAAAAAAACTAAAATGCTTTACTATGTGCCTCTTTTAAAATGGGAACACACAAATACTCCGAAATATAGTATTCGGAATTTTGATGTTAAGATTTTCAAAAGTCCCAATTTCATAATACCTAAGAATCATAATGTCTATTATTAAATTCACGAAATTTATTTTAACGAAAGTCGTAAATGCGGTTGTTTTCCGATTTTTAGATGTTCGAAGAATCAAATGCTCGATGGGTTCTCGGTCCGAAAAACGACATTCCGATTTTCAATTCTTTGAATAAACTGCTAAAATTAAGATTCTGATTCAGTTAGTATAATATTCAGTTACGCATATTTATTCAAAAGCTATAAGTAACGTTTACTGTAATTTAAAAACGTCCACTTTGTTATTAATATTTGTGTATTATAATTTTTTTGTGTTTTCTTATTCACCTTATGGTTACCTTATGTACCATCTACTATTATTGAATTCTTTGGGTTAGGTTAATTTAGAACTATGACCAGCGAAAGAAAATATTTTTTTTTGATAGAAAATAGAAAGAATTCGAATTATGGATGTTTAGAATTATCATTTAGTCGGACTTTTTGTTATTCGATTTATTGAAATCTCTTTATTTTGAGCATAGTAATTATAAACGTTAGAATTATTGAAAATTTTGAATTATAAAAATAGGATGAAGGATCAATCGGAGTTATTATATTAGGAATTTGGAACTATGAAAATCGGTATTTTGAAATTCGTATTTGTGACTGTACCCTTTTAAAATACTTAGTTTATTAAAAAAAATGTTTCTTAAAATGTGGGTAGCGTAAATCTGTATTTTGTAGATTGTCTTTGATCCATTGTTCAGCCTGTTCTGTCATTTCCTCATCGAAGTACTCGCGCCATCCGCCTGCCTTACCTGGTTAAATATTTCGACACACATTGTTATTTTAGAAATGTAAGTACAGTGTCCAAAAATAAAAAAAAACCTTATTCAAATGTACCTTTTCGGATGAATAATTCATTATTATCAAGCATTCCATGTTGTCTTAACTCCGCATGATTTACAGACTTGTTTTTCTTGAAGTTTTCAATATTTAGATGCTTGCACAAATCTTGTACTTCTTCTGGTACTAAACTTCGACCTAAAAAATCGGCAACGCGGCGTATAGAGCCTGCCCAGTCCTACGAATAGTAGAAATATAATAGTACTTTTTGTTCGAAAATGTACGTTATTCTTTAAATTAGTGTTATTCCTTAATAACATTGTATAAATACTTACTTTATTCACATCACACATCAACAGCCTTTAATAGTCCACTGCTGGACAAAGGCCTCTCCTTAGAAAGAAGGTTTTGGCCTACTATACCACGCTGGCCAGACGGGTTGGTATAGGGTTTGTGTCAAGTTTTCCGTCTTTTTGCAATGCTGGTGTCCTGCGTTGTTTTGCGCCCTTAGTCGGCTCTTACGACACCCACGGGATGAATTGGGGTAGTGACATTCCGTATTCTTAATCCGTCACTACACGGACACTTACTTTGTTGAAGTGAACCTTTATTATTCTTTACCAAATAAGATATTAAATTAAAAATAATAGTAAAATATAATTTAAATTACAACACTGTGTTTAAATTTTATGTTCAATACGAGGGACGGCTATTTGGTGTTGAGAATGAATGAAAAAAAAAACACAGCCGAATAACTAACCTACACCACCTCCTTTTTTAAAGTTGATAATTTAAAAAAAAATGGTACCACCTTGGAAGTATTACTCTTTAAAACACAAAAAGAATTTTACAAATCGGTTCTGTCGTCTTCGAATAATCGGTGAACATACATTAAAAAAAGATTCCAATAAATTGAGAACCTCTTTCTTTTTTAAGTCAGCTAATAATAAATCTTAATAATATCTATTTCTATTATAATAGTTAAAATAGGAAAAGAGGTGCATACTTCTAAAAATTCTTCATAAAACAGGAACAGCATATTAGGATGATGCCTTTTGTCCCATGCTTCTTTGACGTGTTCGAAAATAGGACAGTAGATATCTGAAATAATTTATAAAATAAACCAACTATAATTTTTTTAGTTTTGATTATCATAATTATATATTGACGTCTTTGAAAATAGGACATTATTTCTTATCTAGGACTTCTTCTTATGCTACGAGTATTATTAGTTCGATACAAGCCATTTTTCACAGCTTCGATTGGTTAAAATATAATTTTGTATTCCTTGAGAACATACGAGATGAAAGAATGCTACGTACGTTTCTTTTCCTCAGAGAACGTTGCGATAAGGTGTAAAAGCATAAGAAACAAACAAACTCACATATACATTTACCATACTAGCTTAAACGATTTAAAATAAATCTCTGATTTATGAGTTATAATACTTCAGTAGACAAAGATAATATTGGTTTTCTCTTTCTATTCTAGAACAAGTCACACACTTGCCACGCCATTTCCGTACTACTAACCACGTCCTTAACTGTATTATATTTGAAATGATTGCAAAACGATAGCTTTGCGGAAAGCTTATTTGTATTATTTTTAAACTAAATTAAACATTTGTGGGTGAAATACTGTTAGGATGATTTTGTGACATTAGCTTTTTTTATGTTAGAGGGGGCAGACGAGCATTGTGTACCTGCCGTTTGCTCAGCTGCTGGGTCCCGTCAAAATTATACGAACTATGATTAGTAATATATGACTTTGCCGCGATAATATTTACTAATATTCGCGAAAGTTTGAGAACAATTAGATATTTAATTCGTTTATTACATATCACTACTACTATAGTACTAGTATTATGCTCCATCCCAGTTATGAAATATTATAATTTCCTAGTATCTCGCTAACCGTGCTTCAAAATAACATAATATAACAGGCAAACTTCAGCGGGGCGGTGTGTCGAAATCACGGTCGGAATCTAACCGGCTAAAATCACTTTACAAAAACAGCAAAAAGTTTTAGCTGCAGCTTTATTATATAAGTATTGATTTAAATTAAAAGTTAGGATTGAATACTTACACAGGCCTTTGTAAAATAAGTTCCAAAATTCCTTGAAACCACCTGGGAAACGTATAATCTTGTATAACTTCGCACAATGATAGGACGACACGGCTACGTCCCTAGGATCCCTTGCGACGTACACTACCTTTGCAGTGTCCAAAAGCTTAGGGTTCAGCAAAGACAGTGGTAAATGAGTTTTGATGTAGCGAGGAGTTGAATCGGGTATCGTTGCAAGTTTTTTACTTACTGGCTCAGCACACACCGTCAATATTTCTTTCAAATCATTGTTATCCATATTACAATCCATACTTTTCATGAAAGCATCTAATTGATTGGTATCATAGAACATAAAATTTCTGCAAGAAGGTTTTCTAATTATGAAGTGCCTACTTAAAAATATTTATCCTAAGTTATTACAGATAGAAAGACAATGACAATCTAACTCACGCGACGGTTGAAAGGAGCATTTTGATAGAACTAACCTTTCTGTGCTCGTCATTGACACCTTAAATAGCACTTTAACATAATAATATCAAGTTTTAACTTTTGTCTTTCGAGCTATTATAACGAATTTAAATATTGTAATGTATAGCGTTTCATTTATGTTGGCTTTGTAAAATAAACCCTACACATTTAACGGTAAAAAAGGTAAGGTTTTTTTAAGCGTGTAGAAACTCTGAGCGTCGATGAGGTCGTGTGGGTCATGACCTCTTGGGGCTCACGGTGATGTGGTATGCCGCAGTCAATCCGACTATAACCACATGTTGCTTCGTCCCATGTGAATCTATTTTCTAATATGTTGTCCACAAAATAATTCATGTATTATTAAAAAAAAATTGAAAACATTAAGAATACAAGCAAAAAATTCAACAACAAAATCCTTTAAAAACAGTAAGTATATCTTAGATGGAAATGAAAATTGGAGTCGTGCTCTGCCACAGAGTCACCATAATAAATACCGATCAATTATATCTTAAAATTATATACGGTCAACAACAAAAGGCCATGAACAGATACTAATTTACAAAAATTAAATTAAAAATTAAAAAAAACCCCGACTCATATCTTAGATTTGAAATTTGTCATAGTGTATAGTATTCTACTAGTCAAGCTCTTTCATTTGAAACCCATATTGAGGGAGTTGTGAAAAAAAATATAATCAGCCATTTTCGGGCGGCAGCCATCTTGGACCGATTTTCATCAAACATAGCTAAGAACACTCCCGACTAATTCACCTTTCAAAAAAAAAAACAAAATCAAAATTGGTTCATCCGCTCGGGAGCTACGATGCCAGAGACAGACGTTCACACACACAGACACGTCAAACTTATTACACCCCGTCGCTTTTGCGTCGGGGGCTAAAAAGACCTAAAAGTAAAACGGACCAAAAATCACTCGCCAGAGTAGAGCACAAAATAAGGTTATCATCTCAATGTTACCAAAAGGCTAAACATTAATATGCTATAAGTCGTTACACAACAGCAACAAAAGTCCATGAACAGAAACGAATTTACAAAACACCTGAACAATATAATGGACCAAAAATCACTTGCCAGAGTAGAGTACAGAATAAGGTTACGAGTATCATCTCAATATTACAAAAAATAAATTGGTGATGTTAGTTTGAGTTGATTTTATACAATTGCATAATATCACTGTTTGTTTTTTTAATAAATATTCATCAAATCAAAATCATTAACTTTTCATATATTTGCAACTATTAGTAGGACTCATTACAATTTACAAGTTTTCTTAAGGAAGTCCTTGAGCAAACTCACGAGCCCGCAGCGCAACGTTTCCGCATAAGCTAATACGCATTACGTAACCAGATGGCAGCCTACAAGCAAACTGTTCTTGGTTTAACGAGCAGAAAATGAGGAAATTAGCTATGCTTAGTGACTTTTGTACTTATTACAGATCATATGATTTTGTCGCGAATAATGTTCAGCAATTAATGGTTTAACCGAGTTCAGCTACGTTTGTAGTTCAACTATGTTGTTTCTCTTAATCAATAAGTTATGGTAAATAATGATTAGGAAATATTAGAAACTGTACTTCAAACGTACATAATGTAGGTCCTTATGCCGTTATCGCTGTAAGAACATTAGGTTACAATAATGAGCATCCATGTTGGTAAGTAAAAATAATCAAATCTATATCTTAATAATGATATTTTACAACACGTACGCAATAAACAGTATCCGTAAATCAGTTTTTAATTTTAAAAAAGCAGTAGCTTTTATGTGTCCTAAGTACGTGTTTTGAGTGGCTCTCCTAGGGAGTATACTCCGCAGCAGAGCCACAGTCGATGGTCATTATTATGTTACCTAATGTGTGTACAGCGATAACGTCATAAGTACATTATGTAGGTTTCACGTACATCATTTTAAGATATAATTGATCGTTATTTATAAAGGAGACTCTGCGGCAGAACACGACACAAAAATCGACATTATTTGTTTCAATCGACATTATGTGTGTGCTTTGACCTGTTAACTTACTCTAAAAATGAATATCTGCGTTTAAGTGGTACCGTTGCCGCCGTGGAATAGTCCAAATTATTTTTAATCAACCAAACAAGTTCTTGAGTCATAGTTGTACCTAAAAAATATTATATTAGTTTTAAAGGTTCGATGAAAAAATATATATTTAAAACTGCCGTCCTTACGAAAAGTGCAATAACTAGGTTAAAGCTGATTTCGAGGAAAACGCAGTTAAAGTTTTATTTTTTGTTTTATTTGTATCTTCATCACTATAACATGGTTCGACTTGAAACTTTCACTACATGGGAGGTAAAAATGTAGAGAAATGTTCTCTACATTTTTAATGGTGGTAATATCTTAATGTTCGCAGATACTTATTCCCGCAATAAAAAAGAATACTTATGTTTAGTATGAGTAGTATATAAAAATAATGTTTACTATTCGTCACCGTAATAAGTAACCTACTTATTGCACTAATGTTTGGGAAACCAACATGATGCATTTCCATTTGATCCAATATTCCAATTTCTGTATCGATTCAACAAGGCAACACAAGTTTCAACTCGCATTTCTTCTTCTTCGCATCAGTCAAATCTTGAGGCACCCATTTTTAAATATCTTTTTATCTTATTGATTTGATGAAAATTAGTCAACATTGTAGGTAAGATAACGTTAAACCATGCCGCTAATTCCTCGGTAGTTTGACGCTATTCACGTGTATTCCGCCCGGTAATCCACGTGGTTCGTTTTTCAAGTCTAAGTTTCCATTACGAAAGCGTTAAAACCAAACACGCTCGTGTTAAAAATGACTGGGATTTTTGAAGTATCCATCTTTAACGTCTAAGCTGATTAAAAAAACAATTGAAAGTCGAAAATCAAGTGTTGCACTTTTTTTGAAGAAGAACCTCATAGGTATCAGGCGAAAAAAGTTTCACACGAAAATCTCGCATCATGAAAGTTTTATGTCAACTCAAAGTAGCTATTACTATATAACGGCAATTTCATACTTTAAACCCTATTATTTCACTCCTCTGGTACCCCCTTGCCCCCTGGTGCTAGTTATAAACACAATAAATGGTGAAGTTATTGCATTTTATTCTGAGTAAGTATATTGTATTTGTTTATTCTTCCTAAAAATAAGTGCAATATATCTACTTATTACCGCAATTTTAGTATCTTTAATCTTTAAATAATCAGTAATACTCGTACGAATCCTTAACATATTTGCAATAACTCAAACGTATTGCACGTATAAGTAGTAAATCAAGATCATAAATAACAAAATATGCTAATTACAAACATAATAACTATGCTTATTGCAGATATAATTAATAACATGACTGACTTATTTCTACATATAGTTATGGCGGTCTTGATAAGTAAATCATACGAGTAATACAAGGACCTAGATATTGCAGTTATACTTAGTATTAAAACCGGCTCCTTCATAGATACGTTAAACTGTGTAAAGAGTTTATATAGACCTCGTTCTGCTGATTCCGAATATGTACTTAACTCAATTCGACCAAAAAACTCGAGTTATTGCACTTGTCGTAAGGACGGCAGAAAAGTAAAATAAGACTCGCAGAACCAAAAATCTGTTTTGATAAAAGCTTAAGACTGTATAGTGTAAGCAGGTATTACATTCCTCTTTATCTTTCTGTGGACGCTTATCACAAGAAAATAATACTTTCCGATCCCTATGGAAGTAGAATATACATCATCATCATCATCATCATCATCAGCCTATCGCAGTCCACTGAACAGAACAGTACAGAATATACATACCGGATAAGTATTTCTTGTTGTAATATACAGGTATAATGTACAATACAAAAACAGTGTTGAGAAAACTGGTGTTAGAACAATAACTAACAGTTAACTGTACTAATCCTTAAAACACCATGTTACACTTTACTAAGAGTTATTGAATACCTTGCTTATAATAATACTACAAGTTTATAGTTATCCGCAATGAATATCTATCCAATGTAAGAAGTTTTTTTTTAATTCTGAGAAGATCCAGAAATTATTTCAAGCCAACTCCGTGTCACAAAGATATCTGAAAATCTCGGCAACTAACTACTAGCTTAGTAAATTAATTTTTGTTTTATGGACAATTAGGTTGTTGACAATGAAGTCGGAGATTTGTTAAACCAGCATTTTGAGATTAAATTAATTGAAACAAACTTGAAACTGAAACAAACGCTGTACCAACCCGTCTGGCCAGCGTGGTATAGTAGGCCAAAACCTCCTTTGTGGACTTCTAAAGGCTGTTGATGTGATGTGATGTGTGATTGGAAATACAATATTTTTTTTTCAAAAGTCATGTTATTTTAATTTAAAATTCAGTCACTTGTTTTAGAAAGTATTTTGTTTTGATTAATTTTGATAGTTTTGGGCACCATGGTTAAACTGAATCACCGCTGCGCAAAACAACACGAAACATTAACGACGTGTAATGACCTAACACTGCTTGCATAAACACGGTCCATTATTGGTTCAATCGTTTTAGATCTGGAAAATTTGAGTTGAAGAATGAGCCTCGCGGTCAGATGGTAACTATAGTCGACAACGATGAATTAATGGTGATAGTGGAAGCGCATACAACTTAATCTACGGCTGAACTTGCTGTAGGCTTTGGAGTTAGTGTCATAACAAATTTAAAGCATTTGGGTCAAATCGGAAAGATAATTAAGCTAGATAAGTGGGTGTCACACTTAGTGTTATCTAGCTTTGTGTGTGAGTGTGTAAGTAAACATCAGCGAGACTTACGCATCGAAGCATGCATGAATTCTGAATTGAATTGTTACTTGCAATGAAAAATGGATCCTGTACGACAACCGTAAGCGTTCGTCTCATTGGGTGGACTTGGGTACAGCACCTAATCAGTGCGATAAAGAAAGATTACCCATAGAAAGATGATGGTGGACCCGTGCCGGGCTTGTACATTACAGATTCCTACCGAAGGGGACAACAATGACGACAGATGTCTATTGCAAAACTCGCAATTTAACAACCATGACTTCGTCACCATTCACTCTTCCCCATTACTTCTCCACGACAACGCCCGAGTTCACACTTCACGACAGAAAATCGTAATGCTACAAGAGTTACTGCTGGAAGCTCTACCACACCCACCGTACTCACCGGATTTTAATTTACCAAAATATTAATTTTATTGTTTTAAATAAAATTTGTCCGTGTGGTGACGGATTAAGAATACAAAGTGTCACCACCCCTATTCATCCCGTGGGTGTCGTAAGAGCCGACTAAGGGAAAAAAACTACGCAGGACAACAGCACTGCAGAGAGAAGGAAAACTTGACACAAACCCTATACCAACCCGTCTGGCCAGCGTGGTATAGTAGGCCATAACCTCCTTTCTAAATAGAGGCTTATGTCCAGCAGTGGACTATTAAAGGCTGTTGATGATGATGATGAAATAACATTTTGGTTATTTTTTCAATTTTTATACAAATCTTTTAATTCATTGGTGAAGACCTAATATATTATTTATTAGTCATTTCCCAATTTTATCCTATCTTATCTTATTTGTCTAATCTGCAAACTCCAAGGTTCCGGAAATACATTAGTTGCGAAATGTGATGGTCATGCTCTAGTTTAGGGCTGTTCGCAAGATTAAGTGATTTTAAATCTTACAGCTCACACACTTATGTTACTTTGGTTCCTATGAGAAAGCGATTTCAAAACATTTTGTTGAACAAGATCTTTCCTTGGCGTGATATACCAAGACCCACCTTTGCCTGATCTCCGTAGGTTAGAATCTGTTTCCTCCTAACGAGAACTTGTCCCACGGTTGCCCACATGTGCTCGCCAGCATTGTGACAATTCCCATTCATTTTTCAGGTGTATTCAACAAAGTTGGTTCTTACTCGTATATGAATAATTACCTCTTAAAACTTATCACATACGTTACGTTTTATTGTGCATTTTTTTCTAATCCAATTACCGAAGTTTCATTTTTTTTAATATTTTTATGGCATAACTTTATAACAACAACGAAGTTATTATTTTTTTGTTTAAAGACTATTTTATTACCTATTAAACTTATTTTATATCAGTGAGCTGTCAATAGGGGCCATCCATAAGGTATTTCACACGAATTACATGTTTTTTTTACCTCACCTCGTCCCTTGTCACTGTTGGTCACATTTGTGAAATTCGTTCTGCTCGCTAATGTGACGTCACACAAGTTTTACAATTTTACATCTAGAAATTATTAAAATTAAGCAGCAGTTACGAAGTTAGTTTTATGTCCATTGCATTATTTTTAAATATAATAAAATGATACATTGACTAAAATCAACATCAAACGAAACATTTGAAGAAATAGCAAAACGAAAACGATGAATACTGCTGTTAAAATGTTTTAATACTTAGATTTTTTAGGTTTTAAAAGGTGACGACACGAGACCACTTCACTTCACACACACACTTCATCGATAACGTGTGACGTAATATTTGGATGGCCCCTTATAAGTTTTCTTGATTTTCAGGTATCATAATGTGACCCGGATTTTTAGTTTTCGGGTATAGTATATAGATATCACACTGGACGCGTTAGATTGATAAATGTATTTAAAAAAAATAAAAATATAATAAAATAGAATAAAAATAAAAAAATATTAAAACCTTATTTATATCTGAACAATATTAACTAAATTAAAAATTATTCATCATCTCAGAATGCTAACCAGATCGTTGATAACTGGCAACGACTACATCTGTTGGTCTCAGTGGCATGTTGTAGATACCAGCAGCATCTTTCTTGTAAGTTTCATATACTACGTATTTTTTGGGTCCAACACGAGACAAGCGGTAGATATTGATGGTAGCTGAAAATCAAACATTTGTAACATTCATACACTTTTTAAAGGAGGCTATGAGATGGATTTGGTAAATTCCTCTACTTCAACTAGTTAACCTTACATGGATTTAATGGCTCAAATTATAGTCATTATTATTTCAATAACAATTAATGTTTTATTTCAACAAAATCAGCATTACACGCGTTTGTTCACATTAAGTAGCCACATACTTTATAATGTTTATAATGTTTGTCACTTATTATTTAGAACTAAAATATAAAGTTAGAAACTTACATCCATAAACTTTATTTATTTGTTCTTGCTCTTCTGACGTCACGTCAATTATTTCATATGGAAACGGTAAAATATTTTGTTCTTCCATGTCAACTGAACAAAACAAGACGCCAGCGAAATAAAAAGACAACCATCTATTTAATGCTTATTATGTTATCTAAAGATTCCGGCAGCGTTTGATGAATGCATTATCCTTTGGAGATAAACTAATTTGTAATAGGCCAATGTTGCCATAGTAGAAATTTCAATCTCCGTAAATTTTAAGATCACTGAAGGGAAACGGAATACTCTAGTTAAGTCTAGTTTATAACAATTTGTGTTCATCAATCAATATAATGTTAATAACACCAATGACAAATAATAAGAAAGAGGATTATTATATTTTGGATTGACTGCAATGGATACTTAATTCATGATAATCTTACAGTAATACTAGCGGACCCGACAGACGTTGTCCTGTCAAATTTGACACTGCGATGGTAGCGCCGTCTGTCGGATCCAATGTAAAACATTCCAAAATCAACAACTTATAATAATAATAATAATACTTTATTTTTTCACTAAGAGTTATAAACAGAGTACATAGATAACTACTGTGACAATGTTGACGCAATCAACTGTAGTCGCCGCCACGGTACAGCAGGGCCACTCTCTCGTGCTAGGAATAAACCTGTGTTACGAGTAGAGGGACGCCGCCATGGGAGCGTACTCGCAGTCGTAACAGCTGGCACATGTTTACAGTAGCACTACATCAAGACTGGGTCCATATGTTAGGCAAGCCTGTATTTCGGATCCAGTCATACTTAAAACTAGGAAACATAAAAACGTATTCAAATATAGTTAAGAGAGCCATATCAGGTGTATTTAGTGTAATATGTTGAGATTGCATGTGCGTGTGTGTGTGTGTGTGTGTGTGCGCGTGTGTGCGTCTGTGTGTGTGCGTGTTTGTGTGTGCGTGTGTGTGAGAGAGAGTAAGCAAGTGTGTATATGAGTGAGTGTCTAAGCGTGGTTGTGTATACGAGTGTGTGTATGTTGAATGTGATCCTACCCATATATTTTCAGATAAGAGTTTTAAACAAATTTTCTATTTCCGCATAGTTTAAGGTGCGTAGCCATGTTTTGAGAGTGCGGTGAAGTTTATGCTTATTCAGAGGATATATATTAAGAATTTTGTTGATTCTGTTATAAAGAAAACTGCTTACAACTTTATTGTGTCGTTTTGCCAGGGTTGTGTTGTGACGAATTGCGGGACATATTTTATTGAGTCGACGTGTATTTGTGTGGAGACCTGGATCGTATGTTACTGTTGAGTGTTTTTTGGCAACAGTTTGGTGCACAAAGAGCTGCCTCACTGTCAGAACCGGAATATCTTTAAACAAGTTACTGGTTGGGTACCGAAAATTCTTCTTAGACATGACCTTGAGGACAGCCCTCTGGGCAATCTCCAGTGGAAGCATAGTTGTTTTTGCTGCACCACCCCAGGAGGTAATGCAGTAGGAAATTATTGATTGAACAAGTGCCTGGTAGGTCATGGTGAGCGTTTTAAGGTCTGCTGAACTTCGAAGAGTTCTAAATACATAGATCAGTTTCCTGACTCGTGATGTTAAATTATTTATATGTATTTTCCATTTTAGGAACTGATCTATGTAGACACCCAGATACTTAACCTGGGAAGTCCTGGAGATAGTTGCACAGCTACAATTAATAGTGGGGTCGATGCATGTGTGCAGTTTAATTTGATAAGTGTCTGTAGGTGGCAGCATAGATGTTTTGTGTGCAAATGTCATGAAACAGGTTTTATTGGTGTTTAGTGTAAGGAGATTAGCTGTTAGCCAGGCCTGAACCTTTGTAAGAGCAGTTTCAGCGTGGTGTTTTGTTTCATCCCAGGTTGCACCTTTTATTAAGAGTACCGTATCATCAGCATACGCATAAATATTGCAATTTGTGGAATGGAGTTCACAGAGGTCATTAACATAGATGGAGAATAATGTTGGGCCTAAAATACTCCCCTGGGGAACGCCGTAGTCCAAAACTTGTTCAGAACTTGTGAAGTTTCCAATTTTAACGGCTTGTGTCCTACCCACAAGGTAATCTGAAAACAGCTTAAGCGGCACTCCTCTTATGCCGATTTGTTCCAACTTTCTCACAAGAATGGGGACGGAGACGGTATCAAACGCCTTAGACAGGTCCAAGAAAATGGCAAGACATTTCCTTTTACCGTCCAAACCGTCGATTATATCATTTACTAGACTTAGTACAGCATCCTCAGCTGATATACCTTTCCTAAAGCCGTATTGGTTACGTGATATGATGTGTTTTGACTCTAAATAACTCGTCAGACGTTTGTTTAGAGCCTTTTCAATCACTTTCGACATTGCGGGCAGAACTGAAATTGGCCTATAATTATTGACAGTATCTCCATCGCCACTCTTGTGAATAGGGTGAATTATAGCTTTCTTAAACATGTTCGGGAAGGTGCCGGTTGAAAATGAAAGCCGACAGACATGTGTGACAAGTGGGATTAGTATCTCAGCAGAATCCTGTATTATAGCAGCCGAGATACCATCTCGACCAACTGCGCAATCTCTGCGTAAAGATTTGATCAATAGCTCAACCTCACCGCTATCAACGTCGAGTAGCACAAAAGAGTCACATTGGGTGCTAATCGATGCCACTCGGCCATCAGGTGTGGTCACTAGTATGTGTGAGGTGTTTATTTTAGCTGCCAGATCCCGGCCCGCACTAACAAAGAAGTCATTGACTGCGTTTACAGACAGTGTTGGGTTCTCCCTGATACTCAAGAGAGTGTTAGCGATTGACGCTTTGGGTTGTGTGTTAGTTATTGTTTTTATAGCGTTCCACGTAGCCCGAACATTGTTTTGAGCTGTCTCCAATAGTTTTTGTTGGTAGCCAATTTTTAATTTCCTCAGTAATTTATTTATAAAGTTTCTATATCTTATGTACGATAACTTTAGTATAATATTATTTGGGTCCCTCTTTTGAGCTTTATGCATCCGGTCACGGTTACGGATACATCGTATTAAGCCTGGAGTGATCCAAGGTTTAATGTTCCTTTTTGTACGTCCTACTTTATAAATTGCGGTATTGTTTTTAATTATATTAGAGACGCACGTTATCAAATAGTCTGTAGCAGAGTTTACGTCGTTTGTAAATAGAACCGGGGAGTAATCTGTGTTTTTAATCGTATTTTGTATTGCAGTATGATTAGTTTTATTACGAAATATGTCTGGTCTAGAGATAGTTTTCTTCAGTGAGAGTAAAAGAAGTGTGGGCAAGTGATCAGTAATATGAGTGTGGATGATTAGTGTAACTGATTGTAACTTTGATTTTAACAGAACATGGTCCAAACAGTTTTCATATCTGGTTGGAATATTGTGTGTGGAAATTAAACCGTGAGACGTTATGAGGTTAAGATATTCATGGGATCTTTTGTCAATGGTATTTGTTTTAATATCTATATTAATATCCCCGGTGATGCAAACATTTTTGTATGTTTTTAGTGTTAACAGTGTTTCGTTTAAACCATTGAGGAAATTATCCAATTGGGTATATGAAGGCGATCTATAAATAGCCACGATTGCCAGATCTCTGCCGAATTTGCAAATCATACAGTTAAAGTCTTTAATATTTGTAGGTTCACTAATAGAGTAGTTTATCCCCGCCTTTATATAGATTACGATACCGTCATTTTGATTATCCACCCTGTGAGTATAATGAGAATTGTAACCAGTTATAGTAGGAACGTTAGATATTTTTGAGCACCAGCATTCTGTTAAGACAATAATGTCGCAATGTACATTTATTGAGACCAAAAAAGCCTGTAGTTCGTCAAAGTTCTTATTAATGCTACGTATATTTAGTTGCATAACTGAAAACGGGTGACTAACAGCCAAGACATATTCGAGACATTCATCGGTTGAGCACTGAAAAGATTTCATTACGTTGAGCGTTTCAAGTTCTGATGAAATTTTACATAAATCGTTAGCCATAATCTAATAAACAAATATTGCGTTTAGAATATTTTATTAGACAGAAATTGAAACACTCAATATTTGATGAGATATGTACTAAGAAGTAGGTTGACAGTGCTAAAATATCAGTTCTGGCGGGGTTATAAAACAAGCCCTGATAACTAGTCATATTCAGGTATAGGGCCTTATGTGTGTGGGGTGGAGAGAATGTGAGAGTATTGTGTGCATCTAGTCTGTGAGGTGAGAAGATGACGTGTAGTGATTTTTGGCGTGTCGGTATTGTTATGTAAATTAGATGTGTCAAGGGGCTCATTATCAATACTTTTAACCAATTAAATACTAAAGTAAGTAGGAGGAATGTGGTTAACAAAATAGATTTTAAGACAGTTATCCTAGGCACCCATTTTCCGCTTATAAATGAGAGTAACTGTGAGGAGTTTTTTCTAAAGTTCTCAACACAACAGATACTAGTTAAAGAAACAGGCCCTAGTCATTCCCTCACTTCTAGAGTGTTCAAGTCTTCCTCAGAGTTTATTGCAATACGATCAGTGGCTTCATCTCTGCGTATATAAATTTTCCGATTGGTGGTCCAACAAAATTTATAATTTTTGTTTTTCGCAAATACTCGTGCCTGGTGGAACAACTTTCTACCACTGCCCGGCATGTATTCTGTTATATATACAGGGGACGGTGGGCCTAGTATTCCAACGTGACTCGTATTTAATTTCTGGGACATTTCTTTATTCCTGTTGTAATCACGTACGGACGCAAGTATTTTTTGTTTCATAGCCACTGTGTTAAAATCCACCACAATTATCTTATTGCGACCTGGTTTATTCGGGAGACGATAGATGTCGCGTATTTCTGACGTATTAATGTTTACGCTTACGGTTTTTCCAAGGTTTTTAACGTGGTTTTGGATATCCTCCAACGTCTCCTTCTCTTGCCATGGAATATTTCTTATTTCGATGGTGGATGACCGAGTGCCTAACTCCAACACTTCAATTCTTTTCTCTAATATTTCAATGTATTTATAACTCTGTAAACGTTCCTTTTCAAACTTTTCTAGCTTCGATTTCATGTCTTCATAAGTTGT